CAAACAGCCGATGAATAAAAAAATCTAACTGGTTTAAACCGCGTTGCTAAATTTGAATAGTAGGGTAGAGTGGGGCATAACGGGACAGTTATACCTTATATCTCAGCTAAAAAAAAAAAAATTCCACATTTTTTTTGATAAAACCATTTAAATTATTGTGCTTCATTATTGTAAATTTAGAAATTTAATTTAAAAGTACCAAAATGCATTAGTAAGTTTGCAAAAAAAAAAAAAATTTGCGTATTTTTTTAAGGGATACAACGACAAAAGATTAATCTTGAACTATTGCGAATTTGCTTTATTTATTAAAATTTTATATTTTTCAGACAGTATTTTTTATCGCCTTTATGATTTTGGTATTAAAAAAAATGTTTGGAATTGAACCTTTTGAATAGTATTAATTTCAGTAAAATGACTTTTGTTGGGCATATCGGGACAACAAGTTATTTATATAATGGAGTATATTACTACCATATCGTGATGCTGTTGACAGTTTAATGATTTTTTTTTTATCTAAAATATTATTTTTCTTATTTAGAAAAGCAATTTTAGTAATAAATTCAAAGAAATTCTTATTATTTCAACTTTACTTTAATCATTAATAGTGTTTAATCTAAACAAAGAAGGTAAAAAATTTAAGTAAGTTTGCTTTACATTGACATATGGCATATTGCGAATGAACCAGCTCATCAAAAATGTTGCTAAAAAGTTTCAGGATAATTTTTTATGATTTTTGTGATCCATAAATTTTTTGTTTAATTTTAAACCTAATAGTAGTTATCAATTTAAAAATATATATTTTTAAGATTAGTACAAAGGTATTTTATAATTAAACAAACAAAAAACTTTTTAGCTGTTGTTGTTTTTTTGTGGTGTATATGTGGTGTAGCTGTTGTTTCTTTTTTGGGGTGTAACGGCGTGTAGTTTCTATAGGTATATTACTTTTTAAAGAGTTTATTGTCTGGACATATTTAGACGATAGATAGTTTTTATTTTTCATCATTTTTAAAGCTTTACAATCGACGAATAACTGCTTTTTTTTTTAACTGTTCCTTTTTGCCCCACCCACTTGCAAAATAAAAATGTTTTGCTAGTCTAGAGTTTCGTTACTTTGGTTGCCGTAATTTATTTTCAGAAATTTTTTTGTTTTTTTATTTTCTTTCATCAATGAGTTTTTGGAAATTTATAAAAAGCAGTGTTAACTATGTTTAGTTTATCCGCAACTAACATTTGTTTCTTAAGTGTCCAAATACGGCCCCGCTCTACCGCTATAAGACTTAAATTTATTTTGGTTTCTAGATTTTATTTATTTAAAAAAAGGGCATTTGCAATTCTGCAACTAAATACGAGTCCGCGTGTAGCGGAGGTGCGGTCTAACCGACATGTGTACTTGATTTATCATTTCACTGTTAAGATAAGTCAAGCATTTGTAAATTACGCATAATTATGCAAAACATTCTTTGTTCTTTACATGTAGCTACTTAAAGGTGATGATTCTATTTCATATTGGGTCTGTTACATCTATGTATCGATTGTTTGTTGTTGTTTTTAGAAGAAAAAAACTTGATTTTTATGTTTCACGGTCTAGTTTAAAATACTTTTTCTTTCTTCCAATATGCATAATTTGCATTTACTGGTAAATTCAACCATATACTTAACCATTTAATCAAAGTTGTTTTTTCAAATTTGATTTTTGCATTTTCCTTTTATAATTGATTTGATTTTAGTATCAACACCAATTAGTTTCGTAATTAACAAAATTAATCGTAGTAAATATAAACATTATAAAAATTATAAAATATAAAAATTATATTTATATATTACAAAACTTATACTACATATAGATTATACTTATATTTAGTTATATAGATATTATTTTACTAAATTTTACAACCTAAACTATCAGTAAGGCTTACTTATCTTTTATATAAAAATATCTATTTGGTTTTGACCAATTATTCATTAATGCTTTCCTCTGATAACATCTTAAGAATACTACAGCTTAAATTAAACAGAAAATTTCAAACTTTTGTCCAAAAGTCTTTTATTCCCGTGATTTAGGGACATTTGCAGGTTGATCGATCTTGGTACAAAATTGATTTATTGCACATAAAGGTAATTTACCACAATTTTTGCATAACGAGCAGATCCCAAGTCTGGCCAAAATACGTTATCTCCTGTGCTATAAAATTTATTTATAAAAGGTACCAAATACTTTTTAATTATGGTTTATAGGTAAAGGTACCAAATACTTTTTAATTATGGTTTACAGACTGTTTGGTTCATTGGCATTCCTGAAGGAATAAAAAACGGCTTTGATACGCCTTTTGGTGAAATACAAAACCAAATCAATAACTTATTTTTATATTTGTTTTAAAATTTTTACATGCGGGGGAGTCAGACTAATATCACTTGAATAAAAACCAGAGTTGCCAGGGTGAGTTGCCAGGCTGCGACAATTGAGTTAAAATAAAGAACGTTTCGTCGTCTAAAATAAAATCAATAATTTTATATACTTCTAATACATTTGACACTTTGGACTGATTTTCAGTTAAAAGTGGTCTGTTACTTTTTTTACAATATTTTGATGTTAGTTCTTTTAATTGAAAACTTTGAAACATAACTTTAATGAAATTTCAGCAATTTTCATATTATGTCATTATTTAAAAACTATGAATTTAAAAAATAATAACTTTAAGTTCAAAAACTTATTCATAACCAGTTAATAGTGTCAACGACCGAATGTGGAGCCCTATCCTGGTATTGAAGGCTTTTAATCTGGCTACAACATTTGTTGTCTGTGCACTCTTTATACTTATATTAACAAAAAAAGGTTTATTTTTGGCTAGGTACAATTACATTAGAAAAAGACCGATGACACTTGCATTAAGTGTTAGGTCAAGGTCTAAAAAAGTATAAAATTATTGTGTATAAAAAAAATTATAAAAAAAAGTATGAAAAGTATACGCATAAAAAAAAAGTTATTATACATTTTTAATTTAAGGGCAATATATATGACAATTTATTTTTAATTTACACGTGATGCTTAATGGTGATAAAATTAGATATTTGCTGTTAACTACCGAAATCGGTATACAACAAAATAATAACTAATTGTAATCTTTAATCAAAAACTTTAATTTAAATTAAATCATAATGAGTTGAAGAGTAATAACTAAAATCAAATTATAAAAAACATTAAGCTTCAATCCTAAGTTAATTTTTTTTAAACTCGAAGAAAACGTTGCAAAGAAAGCTACACAACGATTGTAGTAAACTTTTCGCATTTACTAGAGGCAACAGACAGTGCTAAATAGTGGTAGATCAGTAGATTTAAACCTTTTCTACAAATTTAAACAGCCGTAGCACAGTGGTTAAAAGTGCTTGCATGAGTAGTTAGAGAAAGAGATCCAGATTTCAATGCAAGCTCTGAGCGTATTTTGCGTTATGAATAAAAAAAAGTAGTGCAAACTTCCTATTTAAATGCTCTTCCACGGTAATTGAGACAAGGTCGTTAGGTATTCTTGGGGTAATTAAAATAAAAAATCAAGTAAAAAAAAAAGATCAATAAACTAAACTTTTAATAAACAAAAATAGATGAACTATAATAACATTACACATTTCGCACACATAAATTTCCAAAACAATAATGTAAAGTTCAAAATGATAGATTTTTAAACACTTTTTAGATTTTTTTCTCAGACATGAGACCAACTTTGGTCTTCAAAAGCATCATATAAAATGTTAGACTCAAACTACCTAGCATTCCTTTAATTTCTGACTTGCACCTATTTCATTACTATGATGACAAAATAACATCTATGCAATTCCAAAAAAAAAGAAATTGATGACGCCAGGATTACTAATATAAGTTTTTCTATGATGCTTGCAGATATCAATCAATTGTGGTACAAAATTTCTAATTTTTTTTTTTGGAGAGGTGATCTGATCTGCCAGTGGCAGCATTTTCATGGCAAGCCAAATATCTTACAATTAGAGAAGGAGGTTCGGATTAGAGGTGCCAAAAAACTGAAAAGCCGAAAAACAAGTTACCATTTATTGTAATCGTAAATAAAATGTTTCTTTACGATGAAGCTCAATATAGAAAGAGGCAAATATATATATATATATATATATATATATATATATATATATATATATATATATATATATATATATATATATATATATATATATATATATTTATATATATATATATATATATATATATATATATATATATATATATATATATATATATATATATATATATATATATATATATATATATATATATATATATATATATATATATATATATATATATATATATATATAAGACTATATTAAAATTTAACTTTTTTAATTTTAGACTTTTTTTTAGTAAAAATATTTTAATCAGAAATATTAGCTAAACGATAAGGATACTAATAAAAAACGGAATACCGGTTTTGAAAATAATTCTTGTTACGCAATCACTACTTATGAAAAAGTTGTTAAAAATTTCTTAAATTTTTTTTTTTAAGTATATTTTAGATCTACTTTGGATTCCCAGTCAAAAATTTGTTAAATAATTTATAAAATTTTGCTTATGGCTTCATATTATTCAATATTTTTTTAAATCTCATTCAAAAATAATCATAATAAAATAGAAAAACAAACGAAAACCCTACGATTCTTAGTTATTATAGTTATGTTTCTTTTTTATTTTTTTTTACCAACTGTTTTATTATGAAGTAGTATGAAATGAATATGAAGTATAAAATGAATACAAAATCACAAATAAAAAGATCTTATTGTATAGTCATATTTAGGGGTTCTATAAAATAACCACGATATCATCATTTTAATCTTCTTTCATGCCCTCTTGTTTAATCTTTATTACTTTTTTAATTTTATTTTGAGAATTTATATATTTTGAATGTTATTTTTTTGAGTTAAGATATATATTTAACAGTTTTTAATAACCATTTAATGGCTTTAAAATAAATATAGTATTTAATAGATGTTTATTTCAAAATCTCTTTACAATAGTTTTTTGCTTTTAGGCATCAAGTACCGTTAAGAAATCGCGAGCGGAGATTTTTGAAACAAATGTAGCTTTTTCCGGCGAGGGTCGAGGTTAACTCATAAGATTGTAAGAGTAGTTTTATAAACATTTAAGATTGTGAAATACCGGAGAGGTTCAAGATTAACTCATAAGTGTAAGTTGAAGTTGAAGTACTAAAAAATATGTACACAATTTTTTTGACTTTTTTGTACATATTATTGTCAAACATCCCCTTTTCCTCCCATCCATCTCTTCCATATCGGAGCATAGCTACATTTTCTAAATGTCAAACGATCCATAAAATAAGTTTTTAATTTTTAAATATCTTTATCTTTCACGTATTCACAATTTTCAATATAATATTAGATATGGATAAATAAATAATTTAAAGTTTTGTTGGTTTGTCATTCTGTCATTCTGTTATTCTGTCGGTCCGTTGACAACTTTTTCTGTCAGTTAAAAATGTGTTTTTAGAGAACAAACATTCAATAATATGGAATTACGACATCGGAGGAAAAACTGTCTGTCGATAAGAAATATGACGTCGGAAGACAAAGTTGTTATTAACAATTGAAGTGGGCTTTATTTCATAGGGTATTTGTTCCTTTGTTTTATTTCCAAGGTGTTTTATTGTTTTAATAAAGTTAACAAACTTATAAAAGTTCTGATTGGTCCCATATATAATAGGATTTAAAACAGAATTTGTGTATGTCAACCAATAAGCAATTGTTGTCCATTTATTTGTAAAAGTTTTTTCTAAAAAAGCCATATACAACCATGTAATCTGATTTGGAAGCATGAAGAGTCCAAAAACAATAACTATAGTAACAAATAGCCTGAACATGAGTAAAGTTTGCATTCTTCTACTACGACATACATCTCGACAACGATCATTTGAAACTTTCCATTTTTTAATACTTCGATTTTTAATAGCATTTCTTCTGTTTATTTGTTCCTGTTGATTTTCTTTGACTAAAAAGCATTTATCTTTTGATAAAGAATTTCTAGTTTGTAACTCTCGATAACTAATTTTTAATTTAATATCGCGGTCTTTTGATAACGAATAACGATTGTTAGATAATGAACATCGATTATTTGATAAACTAAATCTAACAGAATTATATAAACGTTGAGTGCGTCGAACATATTCATCATTTGTTTCTTTAAGCTTTCGCCATGTAAAAAAGTATAAAAAACATATTATTGGTAATGGTAGACCATATTGTACAGCAAAAAGTGTAATTGAATAAATAAAGCTACTTCTTTTGTTCCAAGACTCAATGCACTGAGGTTTTCCATTATCCAATCTTACCGATAGCGTAACTCCGTAGGGAATAACACAGGATAAAGCCGTCAAATGAGTTAGAATTAAAAGTTGACTTTTATTAGCTATTTTATAGTACAAAAACGGATGACATATTGCTACATATCGTTCGAACGCTAAATATACAAGTGTTAATGCGGCAGATATGACTGCCATAGTTGAAAATGGGTGAAGAACATGGCATCCGAAGGCTCCAAAAGGAAAATATCCGTATTGCATTTCAACTATTTGAGTGGGTATGCTAGACACAACTAGCATCAAATCACACAAAGCAAGGTTCATTATACTTTTGCATGACATTGATTTCTTTTTCTTTTTCATACAAGACAAGATTAAAAAGCAGTTACCCGAGCATGCAAATGCTAATATGAGCGAGCCTACAATGCACTGTATACCAACAGGAATATCAGAAGTTATATTCGTATAGTTTGTAGAGGATGACATATAAAGAGATAACATGTTTACTAAACTTTTATTAAAAAACAGTTTACTGTCTAAGGTTTGCTTTTCAATATCATCTTTATGTTTTTTGTTATACAATTTAAACTTTAACTATTTCAAAAACACAATTACTATAAAAATAAAAATATACCTTCGAAAATAAAAAAACAGTTGATATTGTTAACTTTAACAAAAAATACACAATTTCTTGCTGTTTACTTTTTAAATAATATAATACTATACTGATCATTTTTAAAATCAGTAATAATTAACAAAATGAATAATATAGAGTACTATTATTTAACAATAATAATAATAATAATAATAATAATACATTAATTATTAGGTTTTAGCTACTTTTTCTTCTAGAATTTTTTAATTAAACTACTGTTAAGGAAAATATTGTAAATGAAATTAACGTGATACTTTCGGTTCATATATGAGCCGAGAGTATCTAAAAACAACGAGATAAAAATTTTTTGATAAAAAGCATTAATTCATTGAAATGATTTTCATCATTGTTTTTCTAATTGATGGACTTTTAAAAAAAAATTTGTTTTTAATTTTATTTTCAAATTTTTTAACATTTTACATATTATAATAATGAATAAAGAAAACCTTTTTCTTTTTAATTTGGCGAGAATCGAATAATTTTGTCAAGTCAAATTGCACAAAATTTTAAAATGTGACAAACTATGATAAGGAGGACATCCTATAATAAAAATAGATTATAATAAACTAGATATAGCCATTGACTTTCTTTTATCTAAATATTTTCGATTTATACGGTTAAACGTAAATGTACACTTTTTAGAATGTTAAACAGAGATGCGTTTAAAAATTTCCTTCAAACATTGATGTCAAGAAAAACCAAACAAATAATATTTTAAATACAACCTTAAAAAAAAATCTAAATATTTTCAGTGTAAGAAATTTTTTTTCCTTTATATTTACAAAAAATCAAATAATCATTTTTTTTTCAATTATTATTATTTCATAATCATTATTTCACAACAAATTTGAAAATTAAATTTTTTGCGATCCAACAAATATCGATTCGAAAGGTGACATAAAAAACAAATACACTACTTTTAATAACATAAAAATATTGAAGATTGTCGTAAAAATTATTAACCTTAGTTTCAACGAATGAATACAAAAAAGTTACTCTAAAGATATTGATTATAATTATGTTGCTTAGAAACTAGTTTTGGTACAGTGGTTCACGAATAATTCACAACATCATTTTTAGCTTTTGTATGATTAAAGCTATAATAACTACTAAATAACAAAAAGTTTAAATTTGTGGTTAATTTTATATCAAGGTAGATGTTTTAAAATATACGATTTACAGTTTGAAAATGTAACTTACAAGAGTGTTGGTGTCAATGTGACTTATATCGTGACTCTTATTAACTTATCGTAGTCGCAAGTTACTACTATTGTAATATCCTTATTTAAAAACGATATAGTAGATATGTACTTGAATAAACGAAGAGGTTTTTATATACCTTTTTTTTTTTTTTTCTGTAAGTTTTGAATATTTGAAAATATCAGCTGATTATTCTGCTTGCAAAGTAAAAATTATATTTATACTTATAAAAAATTCAAATGCTTACTTGATATGCTTACGTTAAGTACTTTTTTCAAAGCGCAAACAAAACACACACGCACAAACATACACATACGCACGCATGCACACACTAGGCTTACTTAACTGCGAACCATTAACATCAACATCTCAAATGAATAAGAAATATTTATTAGCTTTCAATTTTTATTTTTTAATCAAAACACTACACTTTCTTGAATAATCTTAAATCAAAATCAAAATGTACCATTTATCAAACAAAGAACTGCACAAAAGATGTAAAAAAAATCTAATCACATTTAAATTTTGAAAACTAACACCATTTTGGAATGATAAAGTTTGATGAACAAAGGTTATTCAAGATAAAATCAACGTACTGGTTATTGCTTCTGAGACAGCTGCAGATATTTATTTGCTCAAGATTCTTTTAACAACATTACTGATAACAATAGTAAATAACAGTAATAAAAAGTTGAGGAATGCACGCATTTTTTATTAATTTAAACTTGATCAACTATAATTAACAATCCATACATTACGTCATTTAAATGATAATTTCTTTAACATAATTGGTTAAGTAAAACTCCTCCTTCACAGTTTGTAAGATTTTAAGATTATAAAATTATCTCAGTCAGGGATCGACAACCCGCATACGTGTTTGTTGATATGCTCATCTTAATTACAATGTTTTTCCTCAAGGTTGCTTAAATTATTATAAAGACAAATGTAAAATATCGTATAAATTTTAAACCGTTAGAGTGCCAGCGTAAAACAGATAACTTTTATAAAAAGTTTATATTTTTTCGTAACTCATTAGATATTAAAATTTTATGATTACAATATTGTGCAAACAAGTTTATCAAATTTATCAGGATTAACATTTTTGTGTGCGAAAAAAGCATATTTAAAAAAATGACAAATTGAATAACAATCAATATAAAATAGTAGGTATCAGGTATTACTAAAATTTTAAATACTTTTTGGTAACGGTTTTACGCCCTTTAGATATCCTTTCCAAAAATTTTTTAACATAAGATGTTCTTTTAAGGGGTAATTACAAAAAGTCTTATGATTTCAGTTTCAAACGTGCTTTTAAAATTATTAAAGTTTGTTCAAGATAAATCCTTCAATCCTTTACAAAATAAATCTCTTCAATCAACCTTTTCCCTCGATTTCTCGCAAAATAAATTTTTGAATTGAAACAATCTACCCAATTAATTTGGTAAATTATTCATTGGCGAAAATGCAAAAAAAAAAGTTTTAATTTGATAGAATTAAAAGTGCTACCAAGTTATTTGATTTAAAATACGCATTAGGTTTTTTTAAAATGATTTAATTCCTTCAAATTGGGCTTGGGACTAAACATTTTCAAGTTAATTCAAAGTTCTAATTACCGTGAATATTTGCAAAACATTTTCATTTGACACCATTATGATCATTCAAATATTTAAAGCTTTCAACATTTTTGAAAATAACCGTGAACTCTAAAAATACAATTCAGGTTTTGCAAACGGACTACAAAACATAAAATACTTATGTTTCTAACTTTATTTTTATTGAAAGGTGTACAGGTTCTTTTTTAATAGAGTATTAAGCTACATTCTTTTTCAGAATTAATATTTCTCATTAGAATGTATATTAATGTTTGAGTATATATGCTTATTTATATATATATATATATATATATATATATATATATATATATATATATATATATATATATATATATATATATATATATATATATATATATATATATATATATATATATATATATATAAAATCGGAAATTGTATTTCATAGTAAATTATGAAAAGACCAAAAAGTAATAATAATGATTTATTTGTTGTCTTGTTTGTTGTTCCAAGTGTTTAGTTATGTAAGTAACAATAAAAGATGTTGTTGCTTAAATAGTTTATATATATAAAAATTGTTTTTTGTATTCAGGATAATTAGTGCAGCGCTTTCTAATAAGCTCTTCAAAGTAAATCATGAATGCTGTGTAGCATCTAATGAGCCTTGCTTTGTAAATGCGATGTTTTGATTGGTTTTCCCATTAGTCGTTAAAGCTAGAACTTACGTTCTCTAAAAATTTTGCAACATGCTAAAAAACAGTACTTAACAGTAAGACACTTTTACCCTGATTAAAATAGCCAAGGATAGAAAAATTGTTCTAATTCTATATTTTGTTTTTGAAAATAATGTAAAAATTAAAACTTTAGTTTTATTTAATTCAATAAACGTTGTTGATTTTCATCCTAGTTGATGTAGTATGGCAGTAAAACCACATAAGTTGGATATACAAACAATATTTGAAATAAAAACAATTTACAAACCTAATTTTAATATGAATCAAGTTTTAATATAAACTTAGCAAGGACTTTATACTTATTTTCGTTTAGATTGTGGAATGTTTGAAAGGTCTGGAGCAACAGTTTTCCAAAATCGCTTTCCAGTTTTTCAAAAGCTTTTCATTTAAAATTGATTCTTTATGGCTGTTTCATAAAATAATTTTGCTAATGAACTCTACGGAACAGCGCTTATGAACTCTATAAATCAGCGCTAACAAGCTCTATGGAACAGCGCTAATGAACTCTATAAAACAGTGCTAATGAACTCTATGAAACAATTTTTAAACTATACATTTATCTTTTAAAATATACATTTACTGAGATCAAAGGTTATTCTTAGAGTAACATCTGGAGAATAAAATTTTCTTGTTTCAAATAATATTCAAATATGGTTCAAAGCATAATATAAAAGTAAAAATAACTTTGTTAAGGTAAATTGTTTTAAAAATGTTTTAATAATGTGAACTAGTTTTAATAATGTGAACTAGTTTTAATAATGTGAACTATAATATTACATATGCGGTAACTCGTACATTTTACTCACGAGAATAATAAAGACAAAATATCTAAAACTTGAAGTAAAAGACTTTGTATTATCTACGTAAAGAATTCAAAAAACAACTATCAAAAAGTGTGAGCGGTGATTGTTGCTTTCCTTAATTCATTTATATTCTGTATTTTAGACCCCGTCAACAAAGTACAACAACAGTAAAAAATCTGACCATAATTACGACGTCGGTATGGAAGACGTATTGATATTATTGCGTATTAGATATGACTACATATGTAAAATGCAATAATAATTTAAGAAATAATTTTAAAATAGTGGTATTTTAATGATAAATAAAATTAAGTTATATAAAGAATATTGAAAAAATAGTTGCTAAAATATTTAAGAAGCAAATAAAGACAAATGAAGATATCCCTTACCAAAACATTGAATTATTTAAATCAAAAGATAACGTGATTTATTATAAGCAAAAAGTAAACAAAAAGAAATTGAAGAAATAACCTGAGATATGACAAGTTTAAAGAAAACGGGAACGAATGTTGGAGCAGTAGCGAAACAAAAGTATTGAAGTTGTTTGAGGAAAAACTTAAATTGAAAGGTATAAAAATTGAGGACCAGACGTAAAAAAGCCTAAACTATAGTTTTAAATTACTTCATTTTAAATATATGGTAAGTATTCTAAAAAAACTTTTGGAACTAATAAGAAAAAATAACAAAAAACACAAATCAGAAAAGTATGTGTAGAAAATTAAAAAGAACGAGAAGGTGGAAATTTTGCGTACAAAGTATTTTATACTTCTTCTAGTTATGGATTCTTTTTCTTATCTATATTAGTTTATTTTTTATTTTTCTTATCTATATTAGTTTATTTTTATTTGAATTTAACTTTCAGATATGGAGGATAATATTTTATATAATGTTAAGCTGAAAATTTCATTCTTAGCGATAATGACTCTCCACTATTCAATATCTCAGTGAGAACAAGGTTTTAATTTTTAAATTTTCGTATATTTATTTTCTTTTTTTAAAAGAACTTGAAATAACAAGTAACTTGAAATAGTTTAGTTATTGGATATTTTTGAAAATTTCTGAGATATCTTCAAATCATTTCTTAAGAAAAACCTGAAAAATGAAGACAATTATTCAAAGCGGTTCAAAAGTTGTTGCATTTTGAAGTTTCATAAAACGTTGACAGTCATTTTTTAAAGATTTACGTTTAGATGTAGCAATTTCATGCAGTTAAAAAGTGGATTAAATGGAGAGAAAGTTTTTCGAAGTATCAATAAGTATTTTGAAAACATTTATTGTATGAACTTAACCATGATTTCAAAATAATTTGTGTCACAGAAACTTGGCTTAAGACCAATGAAAAAGTTTTATTTTTGAGTTAACAAATTATGTATCAGTTTATCAAATGCGTTATATTTGCGTAGGTAGTGTTGTGAGCATTTTTATTCACAATTCTATTGACTTTTTTAACTTAACGATCTTAACATAAAAGATACAGGTTGTGAGTCATTTTGCGTTAAAATAATAAAAAAACTTTCTAACAACATCATCATCATTGTTTATCAAAGATTTAAAGAAAACCAGCGACCTAGTTTAAAAATATTTAAGCATGTTCACCTGAAAGTACTTTGGTGCGTAATAAAAAGTAGGATGGGAATTTATGTCTAGATTAAACAAATGAGAGGGGAAAGGGAGGTTATAATTGAAGGGTTAATGGTAATTTTTTTTTAATCTAATAACCGGGGGATTGTACTGGTAAAAGGGGGTGGGATTTCTCCTCAGTTGTAATTAACGAGTTTTTTTTTAAAAAATAAATGGCTTCTTGAGTTCTAATAAATGGAGGGAGGTACTTGCTTAATCACCCAAGTTAAGTACTTATTGATACCATTCTCGAATATAACCTTTTCTGACTATCAACATAGCAATAAGAACAACTTAAAACTCATTAACATTATTGGATAATTTAATAACTAAGAGGATTTTCATTTGGATAAAAATCATCCCACCTAACAGGGATAGAATAACTACCGATATATAACCTCTCTCTTAAAACTCATCAATTTTAACATTACGTTTATTTGTAAAATTATTCACCCGGCCCAGGCGAGATCTTGCCTATGACCGAGATCCCGGGTAGACTAAACAGCTTTGTTACCAAATTTAAATAGCATTTGTTAGATTTTTAAATTTAAGTCGTTTGACCATATATATTTATAAAACTTTAACATTTGTCTTAAAGTTTTTTTAAGGTGAAAGTTTTTTTTTGGTTAGTTTATTATAAACTATGATATTTATTTCGTAAAAAACGCAACATTTTCAAACTTTTAATATGCATATGGTAAAAGTTAAAAGTTATGGAACAGTTTTTTGTAAATTGAAATAGTTTTTATTAAACTTTAATTTTTAGTTTTTAATTTGAAAATTGGCGTGAATGATTATTTGTAAACGAACATCACTTGACCATAAAAACGTCCCGCTTAAGGTGGTCCTATACTAATACAACCAAAATTTTAACAAGTCATTCACATTTTATGATTTTTAGACTATGTATAGCATTTTATATTTAAAAAACAGTTACGAAAAAAAAATTTAATTGGGGCGATAAATATCCTGCGATAAAAAGATTGTGGATCAGTATGGTATGAACATGGAATTTTGACAGATTTTTGCACTCACCCTGAACAGATGATTGCACTCACCCTGATAAAATCTAATAGTTAAAAAATTATTTATAGTTTTGTTAGGAAGCGTTTGAGGCTTAAAAAAAGCTCAACAAATGTTTAAAATCGAGACTTTAGTGTCAGTTAGAAGCATTTTTATTTTATTTTAATTCAACTTTTTTCTATATATTGAATTAAAATCTAGCATATTTAACTCAGAATCGTTATCAGATTTGGAACTATCATGACTTGGAGAGAAGTGATCCAATAAACGTTGGCTACAATCATCAAAATCATCTTTTTGTTCCACAATGTCATTAAAAGGATAGCAGTCATGAGATATAACACTATCTCTTTTTAAAGCTGTATTATAAACAGAGAAATAAGATTCTGTATTAATATCATACATAATTTTGTTAACAGAATAAATTCTTTTTTTTCTCTTTGACTAATAAGATAGCACAATATTCATAATCTGCTAAAAACTCTTATATAAACTTTACGTAAGCTAAAATTTTAATAAACAAAAACTATGAAGAAAAAAATATTTCCAGTTTGAATATATGTATACTTTAAAATTGAATATGACTTTGAAACCCAATACAGTTTTATGATAATTGGTGCACAGTGATTTTATTAAACCGAAAGGTGCGCCATATTATATAGGGCCATCAAACGGTGTTTGCAGGGTTTATTACCGGAACCAGCCAACTAACATGAATTATTTTGGTAAGGTGAATATATATATATATATATATATATATATATATATATAAAATAAATAACACATTAAAATTTCTACCCAATTAGACAAAATAAAAAATGAGATATAAATCACAGAGTGTAAAAAACACCAATCAAAATTTTTTAGTGAGATAAAAGAAATATATATATAAATATAAAAGTCATAAACTTATATAAAAATTTATACAAACAGCATTGGTTACTGCATTAAGGCCATAATCATTTTGTTGTATCGATATGATAAGTTATCAAACTTCGTCTGATACATATTTCATTTTTAGATCATATACTTTGATATATGCTATAAATTTTATCTTAAATACCATTTAACGCTTTTATGTTCATTGGAGGGGTAATGTAAATTATTTAGACCACAAGGTTTTTCTAAAAAAAAAATTTCCTGTTCCTCTCATAGCAACAATACTTTTATAATTAATCTTAAATGATGACATTCCTGGACTTTGCTTTTCAACTTTATTGCTGGAATTGAAAAACTGCTTCCAATTAAACAAAAATGTTGTACAAGAAATTAAAAAAAAAAAAATCAATCTTTTCTTTTTTGATAAATATGTTAAGATTTTGATTAATTATTATGGCATCGTGGATCATAATGAATTACTATAGCATCGTAGACAACCTTGTCCAATCATAATATTGATTGTGTGTCAATAATTATAAAGTATGAAAATAAATTAAAAATTAATTAAATTTTAAATTTTTGCATTACTATTGTTACAGAAATGTGGTAATTTTTTTGAATGTATCGAGAAATACTCAAAAAGATTTTCTTGTGCCTAAGGCTCGTACTACACACGCGTATACGTGTACGTATAGGTATACGTTTTAAGTGTTTTTCCATTTTCAACCTTGTATTTTTTGAAACTAATGTTTGATATTACAGGATCACTTCTAATCAACAGGTATGGGAACTGGTTTACTGGTTTACTAATACGGATATTAGGATTGTTCTCAATCTAATAATTACATCTACTGCCACTCCCGTAATATTAGTGAAAGTTTCAGCATTTTCAAATGCCCTTTTGGTAGTGTTTCCCTTTTTAGTGTTGCCAAAACCCTGTTTAGGTATATCAACTATAAGACTTAGCTCCTCTTTAAACCTTAGTTGAATGTTTTTTTTTCTACTTTTTACTGATGCTTTTTTAGAAAGGGAAATTTGGCAACGTATTTTTTAATGTTTAACTTGTATCCTAAATGTAAAATATATTCAAAAGATCTGAGCCAGCAATGCAGAGTAGAAAGGCACAAAGATTTTCGAAAGGCCTAAAGATTGATTGGTTTATTTAAGATAAAGCTTTTTCATTGGTTGGTTTAGATCTGATCAATTCTGGGTTATTAAGTTCACTTGGCTTAGCTCCGCAAACATTACATGATTGGGAGGACAGAGTGTTAGTAAGGGCATTAACCACTTTACCATCAAACATGGTTGAATCTAGTTTGAACTTAAATGTGATAGTCGTATCCGGTTTGCATTCCTCTATTTCTAAATTTACTTCAAACTTGATTAGTCTATTCATTTCTGCTTTTAAAAGTTCATCCTCATTTTGAATCAATTCTTCCGTTTCTTTTCGATATTGGAGATGTAGGGGTCTACAGTAATGTGTATTGGAGGGTTTCTTATTTAACCATACATTTTTGTTCATGATGGTTAATATAAGTGGAACAATAGCTGTCTGGAAAAGACTTTATTAGAATTTTCTTTAGATTTGACATTTCAGGTTTATCAATACTTTCATACTTTAGACCCTCCAGTCTACAAAAGTCACGTAGAAGAGCTTCAAGTAAATTATCATTTTGAATTCCTAACTCTTAAATTATAGGGACTAAATGTATTCTTTTCATGTTTAATGTAAGCAATGTTTAATGTAAAATAACCAAGTATTGTTGGTTATTTTATACGCAAGTTTTAATTTTTAAACATGCAATATAACATCAAATACTGCATATTTTGGTTTTGAGGTTTGATAGTTAGCACCATCTTCTTGAGCATGAGTTTTTTTACTAATAGGAACTGAATGTGATCAAATCAAGCAATGAACTATTGTTTGCTACTTTATGCGCAAGTTATAGTTAAAAACGGAGGGAAAAAAAAAAAAAATACAAAAAAAAAATGAAGTATTTAAAAGGTCTTATTTTAATTGGGGCAAGTTGCGGCAAATAATTTTTATTTTTTCTGCTTTCATATATTCATATTAATGAGAAAATATTAAAACTTCCATGGAATCTTTTTGTTTTTGAACTAAACTCATAATAAAACTAATTTAAAAAAAATCAATTTATTTTTAAGAAATCAAAGAAATCAAACAAAACAATCAAGAAAAAAAAATTATTTTAAAAAAATCAATTTATTTTTATAATAACACATTTTTGAGATCTCAAGTAATGAAAATCTATAATTAAAATTTATTGTTAAAAATGTTGTTAATAGTTACCAAACATATTAAACATATAACTTCAAATTAAATTTTAAACTGTTTTTACCCATATCAATCTTAAAAGAGTGACACAAAGGCGAGACTAATTTGGACGAGTTTTCCGATAAATAAAATAAAATAAAAGTCTTGGAAAAAAGCGCATAAATTGGTGAAATCTTAAAAATTATTCAAAAAAAAATTATTTATTGTCTTTTAGTGGTATTTAGTTACTTTATAATTTTTATTAATTATTTTCTAGCAATAGTTTTTTATGGGTTTTTTTTGCCGTTTTCTATGGATTTTGACTCACTATGTGTTGACTGTCATTTTTCAATGTTTTCCGTGTTTGCATGTAGCTATTTTATGCAATTAAAAAAGTTGTTTGAAATGAGAGGAAGTACTAAATTTTTATGATCGAATGTAATAAGTTTTTAGGAAAGAATATTTGGTTTTGTCAACTGCAAATACAGACGAACTTTTAAAACTCAATATTAGTCTAGAAATCATGTCTCAAATCCTTACCTTGAAAACTAAAAAATTTAAGCTAATTTTGAGAAGCAACAGA